CGCATTTTCGCTGATGCTCCGTACGGATAATGACGTTGCAAAACCATGTGAGATACTATCCACACTGCAAGCTACATACTGCATATTTCATAAAATTATACTATTATAAACGTACTTACATTTATCGTTCTGTAACGTGCACATGAAATCTTTGCAAGCGAAACACTCATGGTACGTGTTATATTATTATTATGATCACGAGAGCACTTAAAAAAAAAAAAAAATAAGATAAACATATTATAATAATATGTTCGACGCTCCGTAATTTATTGTTTAATATAATATTATAATAATATGGTGGCATTTTCGCAGTAGTAAGTACAATTTTTAAAAATAATACATTAATTAATTGTTGTTTGTTACAAAATAATATAATAATATATGTTTCCGTCGTTTTCAAATAACCTAAAAAATTAATGGTTTGTGATGATACCAATTATTTAATTTTAATAACGTACGCTTATTATGGGTTTGCGATATAATCTGCACATTAACTGATAATTTATACGAAACTAAGTTCGGAAAACTGTGATGGCGAACGTATACTTATAAGAAAAAAGTTATTTATTTAAAATGCAATTAATCTTGGCATATTTTTTATTATCGAGTGGGAAACATTTAACAGTTCTTATTAACAATACATATTAATTTTTTATTTTTATACATACATACATATATATATGAGTTTTTAATACTGGTATTATGTATGTTAAGCATGCACATTTTTTTTTTGACTCATAAGAACTTTTTATTCCTGTTTAACCAACAGCAGATGATGCTATTTGTGAATGGTACAACTTCTCTGCTGTAATCGTTTATTGGTGTATAAAAATTGTGCAAAAATATTACACATATACTACATTGTACTATAAATAATATAAACAACACACACCGGGCGATTGCAGGTTATAATGTTATTTGCTGCATCAAATTACAAAACAAAAAATTAGTCCACCAGTCTATTATTTGCCTATTGTCATACATACATGTCGACCTGTGTTAATGTTCTACTGGACCTCGTATTTCCGTGAAGAGGTCGGTCAGTTGGAGCAACTACTTAAAGATTTTGTCATAGAAGTTTGAGGCCGAGGATCAAACTTTACGGGTCTGTCAAAGATGTTTCCATCTGATGCCCTTATTACAAATGTATGTCTCTCACTTTATAACCTTAGAATTTTAATTATTAAACGAGGGACCCTTATGCTCTAAAGAACCTAATCGTCCAGTTCTTATGAAGAAATGGTAGTCTAGCCCGTTTCCATCTATTAGGAAAAATGGATCCAGGTAAATATCGGTTAACCACCTTAGTATGAGTTAAATTCTAATGATATTTAAGTTTTTCCAAAACATGATTTTCTAATATAAACTTTATGGAAAATATAATTTGTTTTTATTAAATGCATTGATTTTTTTTTCAGTTTAAAAAGCTATTGATGGTATTAAATGTAATGTGTTTATTAATAAATCTTGATAAATTATCAAGGTCATTAATTTCGGAAATTAATATAATTATGAAAATTGTAAACCAAACAATGGAGTAAAACTTCGATTATATAATATATATTAAAATAACGACTAGTAATATTTTCAAATAATGTTTTACAGCTTTTTTTTGACTTATACTTTTAATTGACCAATAAAATACATAACTTAATTAGTATTAATAATACTAATTTAGTACGCACAATCAATTGATTGAAAATTATTTCAATATTTCTTTATTATATATCTAAATGCAATAAAAATACTTGCATAGTGCACACTGTTATCAATATTATTATCGTCTGCAAGATATCGTATAATATCATTAAATCGTATTTTATTGTAAAGTATCATTCGCTGAGACTGCAAAATTGTTCAATCGTCGAGGTCTACGCATAAATACTCACTACATATACACATTTCATATATTTTTTATTCGATAATATATTATGGAACAATATAATATACGAACAGTTTCATTTTAAATATTAAATTTAATGATACGAAGCAAACGATCAACATTCTTGAATACTAATGACCATTTAATAACAGAAAAAAAATAATGTATTGCACAATTAAGATTATATAATATAACAACCGTCAAACAATTTATGCACATATAATATTTTGCTGGATTAAACCCGAGGCGCATATAAATTGATTTTGTTTTTATTCGCTCTCCTGTTTTCAATAATTTGAAGTCTTTATAAAATATTATGTTTAAGAATATTATGGATATTATATTTCTGTTGGTAACTCTGCTATAATATTTCTTGACCTAATTATTTTTAAATGTTACACTCGAACGTTTACCAGTAATTAATTAATTTTCCTAATAACTTCCGTCAAACGAATAAAAATATTAATCTGTTTTATTTACATTTAAAATTAATAGACTCGCCCACTAAAAATTCAATTGATTACAGTGTCGCTCTTTTAATTTATAATATTATACCTTCATAAATTTCAATTACATAGGACAATAATAAAAATACTTAATATTAAATCTTATGAATTTAATTTGATATTTTGATTAGATTCCAGTAATATTTTATTTCATAAAATGTTGATTTTTATTTTTAATAGATAAATTATATATAATTGAACATATTATGACAATAATTATCTTCACAGTATATATTTATCTTTATTGGAAATTATACTGAACAGCTAAAATCGTAAAAATAAAAATAGTTTCTCTGGGGAAAAAATTGATCGCTTAAATTACAGCTAATTACGTACTGATAATTTTTTATTTAAAATGATTTTAGATTAAAATTTTCAAGTTGTAAGTTTATTTTTTTGTTTTTAAACTAGTGATCAAGTTTAAGGAAAAATAACAAAAAACATTTTCGGTAAATACAATTACTAACTAGTGGTTATTTGTAGGGAGATGAAATAATATAATAAATAATAATATTGTTGTGTTGTACGGCGTACGGTTTAGGCAATTGTGGTTGTTTATTGAACCCCTGAAAATAATAAATGTATACTTATTTTGCACTCATTGCATGTGTTCGTATTTATTCTTGTTATTATCAGAAAGTAGATAATAACTTTTCGTTTATAATAGTTGGTGAAAGTGAAATATTAGGAATTATCTATACAAATCTAAGGCTTTATCCTGACTGACAGAGAATTTGCATAATAGAGTCTTAACTATAATAAGTAGATTTAGAATTTTGACAGTACCTTTTCTTCATATTATAAGTAATCATTAAGAAAGGATTTAGTAAATTGCACATTTTAAAGGGGTTTCTTATAGCAGTTTTTCTGTGATTTCTGGGTAAATGTTTGATTTTTTTCTACCATTTTATTTATAAATTAGAATTTTTGGTTAATTAGTAAATAATATGCGTTTCATATTATCAAAATATAAATTATAAGATAGATTATATATTTTTTTTTATTTTTTTTTTTTTTTTATTGTCTATATTATTATTTACTACCTATAATGATTTTTTTCAAAACATTTAGATTAATTTTAATCTTTTTATACCATAGGTACATGGCAAATATTTTTGTATTGGAAAATCTAACTTACTGTCCCTGTGCATTTTGTTGCCCTTAAACAAATCTATCCGTGTTAAATTTGATTCTCCGTGGATTTCTTTTGCTTTAAACTTTATTACATTTAAATTCTGCAGATATTTACCCCCTTTAGCACGACCATTTAAAAACAAATATAAAACAAAACATAATATAAAACAAATAAATCTATTATGTCACGAGAGATATTTGACTGATCGTGTCAGCTCGCGTCTCGGTATTTAGTGTATCATTAATCTAATGGTTGAAAGTCGTTGTGCATTTTAGTTAGTCGTCTAGTGTTTAATTTCTTTGGTAAAATTTTAAATAATTCTTACTTCTTAGTGACTAAAGATAGTATAATTATAAGTGATACAATGTTTTTTTTTACATTTCTGAAATATCAACTTGAAATATATTAGAACTAATTTCTTATAATAATTAATAAACATTTTTTTTATGTATTGCCAGCAAAGGTCAAACACCGATTAAAAAAAAAAAAAACAATTATTTAATTTTTAATGCGTAGATTTATTATATAAAAATAGATTTGGGGTATTAATGGGGTTATTGGAGGGTTTCAACGGCTTTAAACCTTCTCCAGGCAACGCGGATCATTTTGTAAAAACCACGTACAAATTAGTACAATAGTTTTTGAGACTATCAATTTTGGATATAAAAACGACCATTTTTATTTATATAGATAAATATTTTCTATAAATGCAGATTTATATACACGTATTTAATACTGATATAAGATTTACCTACTGATATGTAGATTCATAAATACCTGTTAATTTCAAGATCCCCATGGATGCAGTCTATAATATTGTAATCTGTGTAATAATAATAATAAATCAAAAAATATGACCATAAAGCGTTTCAATAACTAATATTGTGTAATATCACATTATTATTTATAACAATAGCTGCATCAATCTGATTCACCAACACGATATTTTACGTCGTATTGTACCATAGTGCAAAATGAGTAAATAACTATAAGAAATAAAAAAAGAATGAGAATGTTGATTTTCGTGACTACATATTATAAAAATTATCTAAATATTATTTATACATAATATTACAATGTAAAGAAATAACGAGTGATTGGTAAATTATTATGTAGAGCTACAATAATCCACTTGTTATTTAGTGAGATTATCTTAATAGTCTAATACTGAATCGATCGATTGATACCAAAGTTCAGATAAAAAAAAAAAAAATTAATAATAAAATAACAAACTATAAATTTGAATCTGTGATTTTTGTGCGAGTGTAAAGGTATGTTTTCCCGCGGCATTATAATACCTCGGCTGATTGCCACATTAAGACTAGGTAGATATTTTCTATGTACCGTTTAGACCCCACTATTATTCTTAATTTTTCGTGAGAAAATATCCAACCATAATACATTTTAAGTCATACCTCAGAATCATTCCTAATGTTATAGACTAGCATAGATAATAAAATTCAACATTATGTTTTATAGCAAAAATGGCAAATGTTTTATTCATAAAAAAAAAATAAACAATGTACGAGATAACATGCAAAACAAATAATTCGTAGCATCAACTATATGCAACGATTGGGTAACACATTTTCCTTTATATTTGGTCGTTTTATAAATTTCAGTAAAACTTGTACGACGAATGTTCGTATGATGGTTGAAGTGATTCGTGATGATGGTAGTCCGCAGTATCGTCATGATGGTGGGGTGCATCGATCTTCTTGACAATAGCGTTGAAACCGTGTTCGTGGTCAGCTGTGTACTCGACTAGGCGGGTGGAACCGTCGGGTTCCACGAGACTGTACGATCCTTTGACATTACCGTGACCGTCACTAACCTCGTGCTGGCTTTTGATGTCATGCGTGTGAAAGTCTTTCACACCGTACTCGAAATGATATGGCTTAGGTGCATCGTAGTGGTCAGCGTCATAACTTTTGTACTCGATGGGTGGATAAGCAAAGGCCAAGTGTCCGAATAATGCGGCAAACATTATAAACTAGAATTTTCAACAATACGTTTTTATACTAATAAAATTACATTGTAATATATATATGTATATATATATTATATGTATAATATGCGATGATAAGTGTTGTCCGTAAAGAAAACTTTTTTCAATTACCTAACACCAACTGCCTAAATCAGAATTTCTATAATTAAACGTATCTAATTAGTCGATTAGTAAAGATAAAATATTTACCTAATGTCGTACAAAATATTTTTATTTCTTTCGATGAGATTATAAAATTGTATCATAGTGTTCATTAAGTATTATTTGATGAATATTAAATACAATTAATATACATGTCATATTGTATCGTAAAATATCGAAAAAATTAAAATGCTAATTATATTTGTTTAAAATAAGTAAATAATATAATATTAATGTGCAGATATATAATAGAATCTTACCTTAGTGACCATTTTGAGTGTGTAGTAGGTACGCTACACTTTTACAATTGTGATATTTTAAAATAAATTTGTTTTCACAAAAAAAAAAAAAAATAATAATATTAAGTACACTGATGATTATTGAAACATTCTTTACGGTATTTATACTCTAGAAATGTAGAAGTCCCTACTATATTAGATTGTTCACGTAGATAAATTAAGTAATAAATGAATTCGAGTTACATCAACTCATTAAAAAATAATAACAATTATATACGAAATACTCATCTCTATATTTATTAGTGTACATATTATTATATAAATATAATTATATTTTTAATTAAAAAAAAAAAAAATTAAAATAAAAAAACGTTACGAAAAATGAGAACATACTCATAATATTATATATTATAGTATAATATATGTTATATATAATGTAATATAATAATATAATGAAAACCATAATAATTTAGAGTTATAGCAATGTTTTAAAATAATTAAAGTAAGATACTATTAGTATTTTACAATATTTATGTAATAAATAAAAAATGTTAATTTTTTTTACTTTTTGAAATTATTAACAACTATAGAAAGGAGGTTTATTTTATTCACAGACGTTTCACATGATACATTTTCTTATAAACTAAATTAATTTTTATTTATTTTTAAAATCTCTTTGGATGTCATGAAAGCCATTGAAACATTTCATAATTCTTTGTATAGTTACTCGATAAATAGGAAATTGTAACATGCATGAATAAGTACTCTATCTATCTTATTTACAATTTAGGTTTAAACAAACTAGGTACCCAATAATTGTGTTAAATAAAATTGTATAAGGCATTTAAATTGCATAGCACATCTCCAGGAAGACTTAGCAAATAATATTCTATCGTAATACAAATAGTTAAGTTTTAGATTTTCTAACTGAAAAAACTGAAGATTTACAAGATGTATACTATAAAATATTTCTACATTATCTTGGTTTATCTTAAAATGAATATTAACTGTTAAATTAGATGTAATTTAAAATCATGAGGTACAACACTTAATAGTATCCCCATGTGTAGACTTTTCCCATATAAGCATCAATGTATGAAAGGCTAGTCAATAACCTTATGCAAACGGCAATATCAACGAAATTCGAGTATAGTGATTAAGATATAAACTTTAATTTAATATTTCCACAATTATTTATATGGAAATTACGCATTCTCGCCTTTCAGTGTTGAATTTCAGCTCGTTCAACCTCCAGGGATGAAAGTGCTGGTGTAGAGAGGGGAGGTTGTTCTCGACTTTCTATACATGCTAGGGTTGAAAATAATGATTCATAAAACTCACGTTCCGTATTAAATAAATGAAGTTATAATAGCATACAGTAACCGTTGATTAATATAACTTTCAATACCACAGTAAGCACACTTTTCTGCTTGTAAATTAAATATTAATAAACGATTGCGAGTTATTAATATTATCATAATTAACAAAATATTATAATTGATATAAATTCAACAGTGCACATAAATCTTTATAGTAAGACTTATATTTGATTGATCACAATTTTATTGTCATTCGCAAAATCACACTTTTAGTGTAACTTTATAATGACAAGGAAAAAGTAGGTATAAGAAAATAGAAAAATTAAAATTGTTTGATAAAAAAAAAAAATTGAATTTCCAACAAACCAAATCTGTATGCATATTGTCTTTAAAATTATGGGAATACATTTAAAATTGTCTTAGGCAAAATATTAAATTGTAAAATACAATTACAATTATAATTTTGATAAGAACCAATATATAATTATATGGTAAATGTATAAGTTTTATTTTATATTTAAATATAATCATATTATGCGTGAGTTGTGTATTATAATATTAATGAGTAAAAATATAATGTAGTAGCTCAGTGCGGACAAAGATTTATCTGTCTTTAAAAAGAAAAATAACTCAAATTTTAGTGAGACATAATTACATCAAACATAATATGTAGTAGGTAGTAAGTAGGTACTAATATAAATATAATAAATAAATAAAAATAATAATAATTAATAATTATAATAAACATAATATAATAAAATATATTATAATATATTATATTATAATAAAAAATTATTATATTATTAATATAATAAATGTTTAATTCCTACTATTTTCATAATAATTGTAAACTATACATAAATACCATGAATTATAATGTCTATACTTACGTCCAACATGCATTATGACTAATATTAGAGTACCATATAATTTATTTAACTTACATTAGTTTAGTTGATGAACTAAACCTGTTGAAATGACCTATGTGACATTATGTATTACATTAATTATTTGACTACCATGTCACATTAAAAACATTTATCTTCTTGCCTAATAGTTGAATACTTAACATCTAGCCAAATATTGATAAATATTACATAATATATTGTTTAGTTATATAAATTGATCAATATATTATGGATAGTTAATAAATATTAAAACAGCAAAATATTTCTAAGCAAATCAAAAAAAAATTAATTATACAAAAATAAATATTAAAAAAAACTTTAAGTATTTTAATACAATCGCTTATAGAGAAAAAAAAATGAAATATCTAAACGGCTGTTGAAATAAAATTAAAACATTAACAATACCTAAGCTAATATAAATATATATATATTATATATATATATATATATATATTTATTTTTTTTTTTTACAATAAATATTCAAAATGGCAATATAATGTTATAAGTATGTGCTTTTATTTACCTAAATCAATACAAAATAATAAGTACCTATGATAGAATTACTAACGCAGTACTCAAAATTTTGAAACTAAAAGTATTTAAATCTTTAAGTAAATTTGTTCTATAAATGTTTATGAAGGTTTTTTTTTTTTTCAAACAAGTTGTCAATACATTTCGATCTATCCTTTAATTTGAATATTTATATAGTTGGTATTTAAAATAGGTAATAATTAGAAGTAGAATATTATTAAAGACTTTTATATTTTTTTTTTTCAAATGCTATAAAATGCTATGTTAGCTAAAAATGCATTCGTGTTTCCATTATTTAGGATATACTAATTTAAATCTATACGTTTTTGCAGCTAAAGAAATTATTAGCTATAGAGACATTTTTTATTTTTTTAACATAATTTTTTGTAGTTTTTGTACAATATGAGACATTTATCTCAAATTTTAGATTTTAAAGAATTTTTATGTTTAAGATAATGTTATTTACCTATTAACTCTTTAATTTATTTTTAATAATTTTATAAAATATATTCATACTTACCTATAATATAGATTATTATTTTTAAATTAGTTTTTTCCCTCATTTGAGTAGATTTGTTTGATAACTTTTGAGTTTTTAGTGCATTTTTATGAGCTTTTTAAGTTGGTTATTTATACACGTTATGAATAACAAGTTGCGGGACAACAATTCTAATTTTGTTCTGAAGAAATATCTATTCACAAGCATGTACTGTACATATTTCTTATTCGAATATAGTTTTGCCGGCAGATGGCACTACATATTTCTTAAATTAATATTTATTTGAAAATTACTTTTTAGGAACGAAAGAATAAAAATCAAATAAAAAATATCATTACTTTATTTATCGTCATATTATCATTCTAAATCATTTTTATAGTTTATGTATTTTTAATGATTAAATTACAGTTAGGTTAGACAAATACAGTTTGTCAGCTATCTATATTACAGAATTAATTAAAATTGAATTAATGTATACATACTATACATATACATCATATCAATTATATCATTGAGCTAAACGTTATACAATCCATCGCTTAAATATCGATATCGATAGTCTAATCTGATCTTATCCACTGGACCAGTTTTTTATTTGAAATTTGCATGTTATGTCGACTGGATGATGTTATGTAGCACATCTACAATCATGATATATAATAATATTGTCGTATTGCAGTGGGCAGTGGTACAAAAGTGTATGAATTGCATTTTGCCATTAAGTACCAAGTAATTCATTGATTTGATATTAGATCAAACTCAAAAATCATATTTATTTAGAAAAGTTGAATTCGCTATTAGTATCTACATTCTACTTCAATAATTTTAATTGGTATTAATATTTAACTTAACGTTTTAACATGGTAATAATTTTAGTGATTTTTTATTTTCATAATAATTTAAATGTTCATACTTTTTTTTTGTACACTGGTATTTACTAAAATTATTTTTTCTTTCACAATTTACTTGTAGAATATGCGTGGAGAAATTAAATACTTACATTTTTAGGGTTGGATCGAAGATTCTTATACAACTAATTGGAGTGGCTTATAAGTTACAATATTATATAACAGGGATGAGTAACTAGCGGCCTGCGGCCGGATGCATCCCGCGTATCGTTTTTAACTGACCTACATTTCAAATAACTTTATAAAAATATAAAATGTTGGGATTTTACAATTGGTGTATAAAAACGAAGAATTGGAAAAATAAGACATACCTACTTAATTATGTAAATATATGATTAAATATTCAATTAAACAATGTTTTTTAAAAATGTTGGTCAAAAATGTAAGACAATTAATGAAACAGAGGAGTAATTTTAAATTTCCAACACATGTATTTAAAAACACACACTATTTATTAAAATAAATTATACAAAAAAATTTGTAATTAACATGGAATATTTTTTTTTTACTTAGAACAAAATTAAATACCTGATGATAAGTGATCGGAATTTTACCGTAAAATTATTATAGGTAAATTTACGTAAATTGACGTACATTTTTTAATATTCTATAATATTTTTGTTTAATACATTTTTTACGAACTCAATAATATTTTTATAACTAAGCTTATCAACATACTACCCTTTACCTCAATAGTATTAAGTTCAGAAACATTTTTAAAATTATGAGAACTTAAAATGATTTAAACTAAGAAAAAATAAAACAAAAATTAATTAATTATAAATATATTTAAACCTATTTTTATTATTATTGCTGCACAAATATTTAGATATCTACAGTAAATAAAATTAAATCTTACTACTAAGATTTAGGTACCTATTTAAAGTGTGGTACATAAAATTCATCATCACTTAAAATATTATGTTCATCATATAAGTTATCAGATTCGACTATAT